AAAATAGCGCGAAATTTTAGTGCTTCACGTAAACTCTGCAACACAGTAAAATTTCAAATGATGGAGAACCCTGCATGATGTATTCAGTTTTTTTTTTATATATAAAGCTTTCTTCATGTACTAGTATTACTTAAGTTAATTAAAGGGATGGCTAAATATTTTGGCAAGGAAAATGAAACTCGATCGAGAGATTCTCCGATGTTTTGCAGTCTGTAATAACCTTCAACCCCTTAAGCCAGTAATTAACCTGTCCTTTCTGTGCCAGTAGCATATTTCGATCAAATATTTATTGTTCATGAGGGGTGCCTTATAATTAATCACAGGCACCTGAATTTTTAGCAGTAAGTCTCTAAATTAGCCAAATATCGAAACATTCTACCCCTCTATGTACAGTTTAGATACACAAGGTGTGCAACGCCATTTAAACCCCCTGTTCAATTCAGGCTTCAATTTAACACATAAATCGGATATGCCTACTGGTTTTCAACTTTTCGTGTAGCATTTGGTTCAAATATGATATTTCTCGCTATATATTTCTTCCTTAAGTTTAAATCCAACGCGTTGATAATGTTAGCAGCTAAACTTCATGCTGACTTCAAATTTCGTCACAGGGCCCGATCGCCATCAGCTGACGTCACGGAAATTTAATCTCGACACCAAATGCTCCTATACATAAAATTTTAAAATACAACAATAAATTTATTTCATTGACAAACAAAATCAGATAAAAATTAAAAACCGAAAGATTATGTTGGTTTGATAGTCTTGATTTTATTTAATATATGTTATATGTGTTAGAAACAAATCATTGGTAGAGGCTTTGTTGAAGTTTCTGTTGTCGATAGGTAGCGCCTTATGGAGGTTTCCGGTTGCCGACACATGCCATATAGCGGCTAGCGAAGCTAACCGCTTAAAAAGCTGATCCAGATGTAACAGATAATTATAGGGGGATTACCCTCATGAGTTGTATTTTAAAAATATTTACGACTATACTTAATAATAGACTTATGAAATGGTCCGAAAGTAACTATTCTAACGGATGCACAGTTTGGATTCAGACCTGGGATTAACCTCAGTTAAAATTGGCTAATCAGGGGTGTATGTTTAAACTTTTGAAGTCTATGAAAAATGTGCATTTTAATTACGTTACTCATCTGTCTTTGTTTTATACTTATGTGAGTAGTATTTTGAATTATGCAAGTGAAATATGGGGATTCCATTAAGGTGATGCTATAGAGAAAATACACTAAGAATATCTCAAAATTATGTAGAAAGTGCGAAAAATACTTCGTCATTGATGATTTATAATGAACTTGGTCGCTTACCTCTTTTTATTCAAAGAAAGGTTCGTATTATAAAGTTTTGGCTAAAACTATTGGAGTTAGAAAACTGCAAATTGAAAAGTATTTATCAAGATATGCTTGAGAGAATTGAGACAAGTTTTTGTACAAGATATAATTGGTTACTTAATGTAAAAGACTCATTATTTTCAATAGGATTTGGAGACGTTTGGTATTGTGAAAATGTTACAAACAGAAATATATTTTTTAAAAAAATTTCAAACAAAGATTAACTGACTGTTTTCAACAAGAATGTGATGCTTTTTTTCTTCGACTTCAACGTGTTTTGTGTATAGATATTTAACAAATAAATTGTGCATGCAATCCTATTTAATGAAACCAATTCCACCCAAGTATATCCAATTGATTACAAAATATAGACTAAGCGCACATTTATTAATGATTGAGAAGGGAAGATTTACTCATATTCTTAGGGAGAATAGATTTTTTTTGTCAGATGGAGGTTGAAAATGAGTATCATTTTATTTTAAAATGTCCACTTTATCATGAGTACAGGAAATTATATATTAAAAAGTATTATTAGTATAGACCTAGCATGTATAAACTATTACAATTATTATCAACTGAAAATGTGATTGAACTTTGTAATATAGGGAAATTCCTCCAAAAAAGCAGAAGCACTTAGATATTTACATCTGTAAACTGTGTATCTTTTCTATGTTTGATTGGAAATATTGTATACAACAAGCAGTATTAACTTAAAAGCAGTATATGTCATTATTTCATTCATGCATTGTATATTAATTCTGTGCTTTACATCCTGTATTTTGTTATTATGTTATCTGATAAGTCATGTGACTTAAGGAATAAATAAACAAACAGACAGACGGACGAACACCAGCTGATCAGAAAAACTCACTTTATTGATTTCAGGTGATGTTTATTCTCTTTTCTGTCTTTTTGACAGGGATTGTCGATGTCTGCAAAATAAATAAAACGGTTTAAATTAACTTTTTTTTTTTATAATATATCATAGTAGATGTGTATACGATTATGGTGAGTATTTTTTTTTTCTCTATTTTCTTATATTATCATTGGCATCGGAAGCAAATTTAATGTGGGGAGAGCTAATTGTAAAAAAAAAACTTTTTTGTACCTTCTGAAAAAACTGACGAAAAAAAGGGGGAAAGTCCGTTTCCAAAACACAAAAATCCTATTTTGTGGGAGAAGAGAGGTTCGAACTTCAGTACCAAAACTTTTCCGAACACCACAACTTCCCCCATTTTTTAACCTAGTATACTAATACACATACCTGTGAAAAGTGTAGGGGGTTAAACCTACACAGATATGTTTAATGTCTATACTAAGTATATACTTGGGGAAAAAAGTGGGGGGGGGCTAAACCCCACTAGCCCCCCTCCCGGTTACTACGCCTATGATTATAGTGAAGTAGATTTTATGAGTTGATTTTATGCAGGAATTAGTCACTTCCATTAAAGGAGGACTAAACAATGGTTTCAGCATTGAAAAGCTGACACAAGCTGTTAATTATTTTATAAGATTTTTTTTTGGTATTTTTTAAAAGAAAATGATAAAATCATTAACGTCAAAATAATATGCTTTCTTAATGTCAAAATTTGATTTGCTGTAAATGAATGCATCTCATGAATGCCGTAAAATAAAACACATATTCTGTGAATTTTAAGTTTGATCGGGTGAGGTCCGAATATTAAAAAAAACAAGTAACAGCTTTTCAAAAAGCTTGCCTGACGTAATCAATCAATATCTCTGAGAGAAGTTATAAACCTTTTGAACAATATTTTTTTGTGCTGTCATATTATTTGAGAACCTTGTAAAAATATTTAATTATTTAACTTATAAAAGAACGATGTCTTGGCTGCATCAGTGATGTAGCTTCGATTTTGAAAGTGTGTGTGTATGGGGGGGGACTTACCTGAAAAAGTTGACAAGCAAAAAAAAATTCAAATTTCCTTTAGTATAAGTAAGGTTGGGAAAAAAGGGGCACCCCCCCCCCCAGTTGCTACGCCCCTGTGCATTCTGAAGAGTTGTTAGCAGAATGGTTAATGTTTGTGGGTTTTCTACCAATCGCAACTCCTCGGGCCTTATTTACGGAAGGAGAACAACAAATGTTGTCTGGAACCTGGTTGAGCTGCGTCGATCGTTTGTGGTGATTGGACTAGTCCATTAAAATATGGAATAAACCAACAGAGGGGAAACAAATTAGAGAAATCATTTTTTCATTTGTTTTGCATGTCCATATTCTGATACATACGTTTGATATGTTGTTTTAAGGAATAAGATATATGTTGTGGATAGAATTTCTGAAACATAGGTAGATGGGGGTTACAATAACAAACTTTATTTAATTCCATGGAAATTAGCACCCCAATTCATACAATAAAACAATCCCAAGAAAAGGCGCGAAGATCGCTTACTCGTGACATTTGGCGCGAAAAGAGCGATTCACCCCTTTTTTAGAACATAAATGGACTGATCCAGCAATAAAGAAATGCAGAAAAAAGATACACGGGCACGTTGAAACGGTAAATCACATGGAATGATCTGTTTCATGCAAACAGAGTAAACAAAGTAAATACTGCATTATTTTGCATCAGTAAAATCATTGTCTCCTGAAGAAAAGTTTCTTTTAAAATGCAGGTGAAAGATTTCCAATGTAAATCAGCTTGCACAAAATCTAGCTCTCTGGGTATGATCTCATTTCGGATCAAGCAATTATCAATCCTTATACAGCCTGACGCCGTGACGTCAGGCAAAAATCTAATATAGCCATAAATTTAAAAAAATATTGACAATTAAATAATGTTTTTTTTTTTTATTTTCATAAATAATTTTTTATTTAAAAAAAAATTAAAAGTTTAGCTTTTTTACGTATTTTATTAAATATTCACAATTATTATCCATTCATTTACAGCAAATTTTAACTCAAATAATACATTTTGGATATTAACACTTTTTTTTAATTATACTGTGAAAAATACACAAAAATCACTATAAAATATTTCAGAGCTTGTATCAGCCTTTCAACTTTGTAACCATTGTTTAAAAGGATGACTCAAGGATAAGAAAAAAATTAGTGGAATTCAACTACGAAAACCGTTTAGAGAATGAAGAAGTACGAGACTACAGCTAAATATTGATCTTTATTTCCTTCAACATTTATTTATTTTTTTGTTTGGGGTGTATAGATTGACACCGTATAACACAGCATTTTAATATTGGATTATTTTATTTTACTTCTACAAAGGGGGATATATTTATTTCGCGCCAAAATGTCATGAGTAAATTATTTTCGCAATATTTTCTCGAAAAGGTTTAGGTAAAAACTATCAGAAAAAAGTGATCAAGTTGGTTTCTTAAATTTAAATCATATTCTTCATGTACATATTATTATAGATTTACAATTTTTTTATCTTTCTTGAGAGTACGAGCAATTTAGTATTCCCAAGCTGAATGTGTATCAAATTACGTTTTTTTTTAAATTTAAGGATACTGATTACATAATTTTTAACAATGTAATAAATACATAGAAAATTGGTTTGTTCTATAATTAAATTTCGCTGCGGGAGTATGTAAACTTTCCTGTCCTGTCCCCCCTCTGTATCTGCTAGTGGTATAGACTCAATGTCACGTGCACTATGGAATTATGGGAAAGGTTTGTGAGGATGCCGGATGTCAGATGCAGCAGAGACGAAATAGGAGGAGAAACAGTCTTGGTTTTATTCTTGCAAGGTACAATTTTAGTTTTTTGTCCTTAATAAAGTTAATCAGGTAGTGGCTTAACATTTATTCCTCATTAAAACTCTGGAAAAAAAATATTCTAAGAATCCAGTTTGAAACGTGGTCCTGACTAATAATATTCATGTTTATGATGTTATGGCGGCTTGTTAAGTCCGATTTTGCAAAGACTGATTCATGTCTATGTGTTACACTTGATCATTTTAGATGTTATTTAATGGTTCATTATCTTTTTTAACAATTAAAAAAAAAAGACCTTAAGCTGTCTTAAGCCCCAATATAGTTTTCAGTAGACCCATTTTCTCTTTGGCCGCCATCTTGTGGGTCAACTAGGTAATTTTCCCTCTTAAGAGTGTAGCAGAATTATCTAGGGGGAAATCATTATGTAATACACTTTATGAAATAAAGGAGGTTTTAACAAATGTATAATTATCAGAAAACAGTGCTTCCCAGCCCACAATAACCAGTATTAAAAAGTTAAATTTTGTTGAATTATGAAGGAATATGAGCATGTTAGTGTCCAGTCAATATTCGTACACAAACCGAGTTGTACACGAAAAGTCAACTCGTACACAAAAAGGTCAACTTGTATACAAACCAGAAGTCAACTCGTACCCAACATTTATATACAATTCGTGAATTGTTATAAATTGATCTTACAAGAATAATGGCAAATCTAATTTTAAAAAAGTAAAATAAATAAAAGCGCAGAGCTAGAAGTGTTAATTTTCTGTAAGTTTTTTTCATAAATACTAAATTAATTCAACTTCTCTGGGTTTTATTTACAATTATTAGGAATTGCATGTATTTCTATAAGAATAATGTATAAACCAGAAAAAAAAAGAACAAAGAAAGTGTAATTATTATTTATTTTTTTAATAGATTTTTTTTCTATAATACGTCAGTGGCTTGACATTTTAAATCAACCCGATTCAATCGTGGTTTCTCTTATTAGGTATTCATACAATTATTGTTTAACCAACAGAAGCACGTTGGTTTCTTGGATCTGTTGGATCTGCAGCAAACGCTAATTACGTAATGCTCCTAAGTGGTCCAAATTTCTTCATTTCTTGTGAGATTACAAGAAACTTGTTTATCCTGTCATACAACTGTCTTGTTAATTTAAAAAAAATTAAATTGGTAAGTTTTTTTTAAATTGATTGCAATGATATGATATACTTTTGAAATCGTTCGATTTTTTGGATCGTATTTACTATCTAGACTAAATATATATAACGATATTTGTTAAATGTTGCCACAAAAATTCTAACTTTCCTATCTAAAGCATATCAATCTATATCTATATCCACAAATATCCCTGGTTATCATGTATGAAATAAATATATATTTAAATAACAAAAGTGTGTAGGAGCTGACGCCTCAGATTTAATTACGCCAGAAAAATCTTGTTAAAAACAAAACAAAAACGCATATATGGAAAAGGAAAAATCAGAGGCACCAACTGATTAAAATGCACAAGAAAAACCTTTGTGTAAAATAGTTGACTCCTCAATTTTTATAAACTGGGCAAAACTATACCTTAATTAAATCACATAAGAAAACCTATGTACAAATGACAATAGTTTGTGTATGAGTTGACTTCTGATTTTTGTATACGAGTTGACTTTTTGTGTACAAATCAGTCTGTGTACGACTCGGTTTGTGTATGAGTTGACTGTAAATCAGCATTTTGACCCACAATTAGGCGTCCATGGGAAATAACTCTTGTTAATTTGTGTCTAATGAAAACTATCTTATGTATTCATCTGAATTTTCTTTTGTCTACAAAATGTGTCTGAGCGTTTACAGTGATTCATTTACAGATTTGAAATCAAATAAAGTATGGACTGATTGAACTGAACTATGATATCAGTTTCACATGTCGTGAATTGAACCATGGAAAGATAAATTCTGGTGTATCATGAAATGGTTTATCATTGCACTCTTAAAATTTACTGGTACTTGTGAAGAAAAACAATCCTTCTATCAGATATTCAATCTATGGGCTTGTTGGACATTTTCTTTACAATTTATATATATATTATTATAACAGTAACTTGATCCGAAGAGTCGTATCACGTCGAGTTGACAGGCGCGGATCATCAGATCTCACGAGACGCGAAGCGTCGAGTGTGATCTGATGATCCGCGCCTGTCAACGAGACGTGATACGGCTCTTCGGATCAAGTTACTGTTATAATGATAAATTTATTATATACCCCCTTATAACTAGCTAAATCTAGCAGAATAAAACAAAGCTGAACACGATTCGTAAAAGAAATGTATCCGCCATTTTAGTTCCTGAGACTCGCTACCCTGCAGACCCATATAAATAGGGCAAGAATTAGAGACTGTTCAGTTTAATCAGTCGACACCGGTGTAGACGGACGTATGCTATACAGGACTTGGTAGCGAGGATAATAACGTAATACTTCGTCTAATGCAGGAAAGTAAGATACCAAATAAATTTACAATTATAGCTGCACAAGTCAGAGCAGTATACAAACAACATAGATAAACGTAAGTGATATAAAATATGAACAAATGTAATGCAAGATAACCAGGTCGAACACGGGTCGCCATTCCACGCCGATACCTGTGACAATAAAGCAGTCAGGTGTAACGAAAGCGACGAGTATACCCTAGGATGGATGTATCGTAGATAATGCTATCAGAAATGGCGTATGCCTATTTACGAGTCGTGTTCAGCTTTAAGAGATCAATTGCATAATATTTATCCATAAAACAAAGCATAATAACAAAGCATAATAACAAGGGACTTTTTAACTCGCAAGAAAAATAACGTCATGTTTTTGCGTACTACGTCATCAGTTTCAGAGAATGGTGATATGGATTCAGAAAACCACAGTGTGGTGATCCGGAAAATCGGATCAAACTCTGTAAAATTAACAGTAACAAAAACAAGGAAATTGATAGGTATATAATAAATTGATTTATCATGTGTTCCACAGAAAAAAAAAATGTGAGAAATCCCAAAATAATTATTTGCCTCCCAAAAAAAACCCACTTTACATTATAACAGAAAAAGTTCTGCTTCTCTGGTGTGTTCACATTATTATTATTTACAGCTAACTGTAAAGCTTCACGTTATGTCAAGATTATTTTCCTCAGACACATCCAGCGTAAACAACTCAAGGGATTGGTCAACTAAAATATCAACATTGACACAGAAATAGTCTGTTGCACAAGCAACCTGACCTATCAGGGATAAGAAGAAAGAACCAGTTGTAAATATTGCGGTTAGCAGGTGTTTACAATTAAGCTTGAGTGCAGTTGTTAACTAGATCGTGACGTAACGTGAAACTTTACAGTCAGCTGCAAACGATAATATACTCCGAATGGTCATTCCCAGTTTTAAGAACGTGTTTATTTTATTTATACCTTCACCGTCTATTCACATTTCTCCTTAAAAGGTGAATGCAATGGATATGCATTGAGATAATAAAACTAAGAGTGCAACGATAAACCGTTTGTCGGTATACCGCGGTTTATTTTTCCACGGTTCGGTTCACGATATGTGAAACTGATACCACGGTTTCCTTCAATCCATCGTAATAATCGGATTAGTCCGTTTTCCTGTGGGATAATTATGGTCTTGCAACCATTTATTATGTACTTACAGTTTCATTAATTTGGAACCTTGTCGTGTCCCATGAATTGGGACACGGGACAAAAAGCTTTTTGTCGGAAATATTTCATCGACGAGTTCTTTAGGCAAGGTAAGGGTAATCTCATTTCCTCCGACATCTATGTCAGCTTGTCCACTAAGTAAAAGAAAATGGAACTTATTAAGATAAAATAAATTATCCTGTTCATCTTAGCTAAAAGCTGAACAACTATGTGAACTGTTCTGAACAAAATTTGTTCATTGTCTGATGTTTGTAATGACTGTAATATTATTAATAGTTAAATCTTCATCAAATTTTTCTATTGGCATAATTATATCCTTTGGTGCAAGTGGGTCCACTAATTATTCTAGTCTACTTTTTTTGGGTTAAATTCTCAATAATCAGAAATAATGAAACTTATGTGAAAGCTTTATTGCATAGTAAGGATTTACTCTAAGTTTGTTAAAATAAGGACCTCTAGGACTGAATTTGTGGAGGGGGGCAATCAGGTTTTTTCAAAGTAATATTTAGTGAAAAAAGCTTGAAAAGTCTTTTTAGAAAAGCAAAGACATGTTTAATAATGTTTAAATGGAAGTATTGTAAAGGCAATAGAATTAAGTTTCTTTACAGTTACAAGCTGAAATAAATAAGGTTGGTAGGTAGGAAATTTTCCATTTTGATTTCTTTAATACACAAATTTAAATGAATTTAGTTGATTATACACAATTCATTATTGCGTGGTGCTCTTGCCATGTAGATGCTCTTGCCATGTAGATGATTGACACTTGGTAAATCTGGTAAATAACAGAATGGTCAAAGCTTCTCAGGTGAGCGATGTGGCATATGAGCCTCTTGTTTAACTTCAAAGTATTTTCCAGTATGTTGAAAATGTAAGATTTATATATATATATATATATATATATATATATATATCAGATATATATGATATGAATATATATACACAGCATGTTCACTTGGACTCACCTTTCAAAATCGATGCTCGTGATTACCCCTTGGAAGATCTGTTCAGGTTCTTGCTTCTCCTGAAAAATCAAAATATGAATGTTCATGTGTTTTCCCTTAGTTAGCCAACCATAATGGTTTGTTTAACATGTTTAATGTACTCTGACTGAGAGATCAAAATTCACATACGTCATACCCATTTTTTAGCTCACCTGAGCCCAAGGCTCAAGTTAGCTTTTCTGATCAAAATTTGTCCGTCGTCTGTCGTTGTCGTTGATGTCGTTGTAAACTTTTCACATTTTCATCTTCTTCTCAAGAACCACTGCACCAATTTCAATCAAACTTGCCACAAAATATCCTTGGGTAAAGGGAATTCAAATTTATTCAAATGAAGGGCCAAGCCCCTTTTCAAGGGGAGATAATCATGAATTAAAGAAAAATTAATGGCATTTTTAAAAAATCTTCTTCTCAAGAACCACTGGGCCAGGAAAGATAAAACTCATGTTAAATCATCCTCAGGTAGTGTAGAATCAAGTTTGTTCAAATCATGACCCCCGGGGCAAGGGTGGGGCCAAAATGGCCAACCAAAGTTTTACTTAGGAATATATAGGAAAAATCTTTAAAAATCTTCTTCTCAAGATCCACTGGGCGAGGAAAGATGAAACTCATTTGAAATCATCCTCAAGTAGTGTAGATTCAAGTTTATTCAAGTCATGACCCCCGGGGAATAGGGCGGGGCCAAAATGGCCAATCAAAGTTTTACATAGGAATACTTAGGAAAAATCTTTAAAAATCTTCTTCTCAAGAACCACTTGGCCAGGAAAGATGAAACTCATGTGGAATCATCCTCAGGTAGTGTAAATTCAAATTTGTTCAAGTTATGACCCCCAGGGGTAGGGCGGAGCCAAAATGGCCGATCAAAGTATTACATAGGAATATATAGGGAAACCTTTTTAAATCTTCTTTTCAAGTATTTCAAAGCCATGATTAGTAATATTTATATGGAATCATCCTCAGGTAATTTAGATTCTAGTTCATTGAAATTATGATCCCCTGGAGGGTGGGGGGTGATAAATTTCAAGCCCCCCCCAACTTAAGTTAATTTAATTAACTTTCAATTCTGATCTGATATGTGTTTTTTCCTAGCTGATGTGCTCAGGTTAGCGCTGTGGCCCCTGGGCCTCTTTTTAGTTATAATGCCCTGAGGTAAAGTGAGACTACAATGGAAATGGTGAATCAAAGTTTAACATAGTTCTACTGTATTATTTTTACAGTATGTATTGTTTCAATTTTTATAAAGATGAGAAATAGAAGGAATCATTTAAATCCTATACTAAAGTTGACATGATCATTTTCATTGCATTTTAATCTTTTAATGATGATTGAACAATGGGAGGATAATATTATAAATGCAAAATTTAATACATACTGTTATTTCCGTGCTAGCAGTTGAGTGAAATTCTTTACGCTTCTTGAGAGTAATGAAACATGGAAACATGGGCCTGTTTCCCCCACATCTTCACAGTTGCTGTTCCAATCTTTAGAATTCTGTACTCCGAGGTCTTTGATTTATAAATCTCCGACATCTGTAACCAAAAGCAGAGGTTAGTTTTTCTTGTGTTCCAGACAGTAATATATTTTGAAATATATGTATTTAAGGCCAAAAAATGTCTTGTTTCCTATTATTTTGAATATTAAAATATGATAGGTAGGAGCATTATTTTGATTTTAACTTTTTAGCTCACCTGAGCCGACGGCTCAAGTGAGCTATTCTGATCACAATTTGTCTGTCGTCGTCATTGTCGTTGTAAACTTTTCACATTTTCATCTACTTCTCAAGAACCACTGGGCCAATTTCAACCAAACTTGCCACAAAGTATCCTTGGGTGAAGGGGATTCAAGTTTGTTCAAAGGGGAGATAATCATGAATTAGAGAAAAATTATTAGCATTTTTAAAAAATCTTCTTCTCAAGAACCACTGGGCCAGGAAAGATGAAACTCATGTGGAATCATCTTCAGGTAGTGTAGATTCAAGTTTTTGATCACGTCATGACCCCCAGGGGTAGGGTGGGGCCAAAATGGCCGATCAAAGTTTTACATATTAGGAATATATAGGAAAAATCTTTAAAAATCTTACTCTCAAGAACCACTGGGCCAGGAAATATGAATCTCGTGTGGAATCATCCTCAGGTAGTGTAGATTCAAGTTTGTTCAAGTCATGACCCCCGGGGTTGGGTGGGGCCAAAATGGCCGATCAAAGTTTTACATAGGAATATATAGGAAAAATCTATAAAAATTTCTTCTCAAGAACCACTTGGCCAGGAAATATGAAACTCATGTGGAATCATCCTCAGGTAGTGTAGATTCAAGTTTGTTCAATCAAGTCACAACCCCCAGGGGTAGGGTGGGGCCAAAATGGCCGATCAAAGTTTTACATTGGAATATATAGGAAAAATCTTTAAAAATCTTCTTCTCAAGAACCACTGGGCCAAGAAAGATGAATCTCATGTGAAATCATCCTCAGGTAGTATAAATTCAAGTTTTCTCAAGTCATGACCCCCCCCCCCCCCCCCGGGGTAGGGCGGGTCCAAAATGGCCGATCAAAGTTTTACATAGGAATATATAGGAAAAATCTTTAAAAATCTTCTTTTCAAGAACCATTAAAACAGGAAAGATAAAACTCATGTGAAATCATCCTCAGGTAGTGTAGATTCAAGTTTTTTAAAATCATGACCCTAGGGTAAGGGTGTGGCCAAAATTGCAGACCAAAGTTTTACATAGAAATATATAGGGAAACCTTTTTGAATCCTCTTTTCAAGTACTTGAAAGCCATGATTAGTTTTATTTATATAGGATCATCCTAAGGCAATGTAGATTCTAGTTCGTTCAGATTATGATCTCCTTGGGGTTTAAAATTCAAGCCCTCCCCTTACTTAAGTTAACTTTCAGTTCTGATCTGATGTGTTTTTCCTAGCTGATGTGCTCAGGTGAGCGCTGTGGCCCCTGGGCCTCTTGTTTTAGCTTATGTTAACCTTCACAAGTGATAAGTAAAGGTCATAAGAGCTTTAATAACTCATGAATTATTAAACAAAATCAAATAGGATTTTGGATATATCTTTTTCAAAGATGGTTTTAAATGTTAGATAAGAAAACTGAAAAATATGAACAAAAATAAATTTAATTCACCTCAAAAGTCTACCTTTCAATATACTTAGAGAAAAAGCAATATTTGCAAAGAATAATAATTTTAAATACAATTTTTTTTCTTCTCAAAGTAGTTTGCTTACTTTATAAATCTGACGTCCATTTTCTTTGACAGAAAATTTGATTTGCTGTGAACAATTGGTGAGATTACTTACTTCCTTAATGACTCCACAAATTGAAACACGCTTCCCGTCCTCCTTTTCCAGAGCCTCAGCAGAGGTTGTCACTGGAGGGGCCGAAAAATTTCGGATATCCTCCTCCCATTTGCTGATGAGGACTCCCTTATCATCCTCTGGTAAGTTCTTAAGCTGCAAACAAAATGTGTTTTTGAAATACTATGCACCCAGCGTAAATAGAGTTTGAAAAATCTTATTGTAGCATATCATAGGGATAAATCTATGTTTTTGGGAAACTACCCTTTCTGAAAAAATTGGGAAAAACAGGCAGGGTTTTGAAACAACTTGAGCGAGTGCCGGGAAAGTCCTGCTTTGTGGACCATATCAGCATTTTTATGATTATTAAAAAGAACTTTATCATTTATAAGAAATTCTACTTAGGAATATGTAGAAAATTTTTTTCTTAAGAACCACTGGGCCAAGAAAGATGAAACTTATATGGTATCATCCTCAGGTAGTGTAGATTCAAGTTTTTTTCAAATCATTACCACAAGGGGTTGGGTGGGGCCTAAATGGCCTGTAGTTTTACGTAGGAATATATTCTATAGGAAAATCTTTTTCTCAAAAACAATAGAGACAGGAAATATAAAACTCAATTGAAATCATGCTCAGGTAGTGTAAATTCAAATTCGTTCAAATCATGATCCCCGGGGCTAGGGTTTTGCCATTATGACTGTTATATTTTTATAAAGGAATATATAGGAAAAAATCTTTTGATATCTTCTTCTCAAGAACCAGAGGGCCAGTATAGTAAACTCATGACATGTGGAATCATCCTATTGTACCTTCATATTTGTTCAAATCATGACCCCCGTGGTAGGGTTGTGCCAAAATGATCGATCAAAGTTTTTCATAAGAGTATATAGGGAAATCTTTTAAAATCTCCTTTTCAAGTACTCCAAAGCCTTGGTTAGTGATATTATATTGAATCATCATCAGGTAGTGTAGATTCTATTTTGTTCAAACCATGACCCATAGAGGGGTTAAACTTTAAGCTCCCCCCCCACATCTTACCTCCGAAAACTTTCATTTCTGATCTGATATTTGCTTTTTCCTAGCCCGTGTGTGCTGGGGTGGTCCCCCTCTTGTGTAGTGTATATTCTCAATTGTTCAAATCATTTTGGTGGAAGGGGAGGGGGGGGGGTTAATGTGTATTATAAAGTGGAAAATCTAGGGAAGAGCAGCATAACGAAAGTATCTCAGATAAGCTAGGGGTCTTTTGTTTTAATTAATTTGTACGGTTTTCAAAATCAGTTAGACGTTCTCTGAAATTTGATTCTACTAAATCCTTATTAGGCTCCACCAACTATTCCATTCCAATATATGAGCTGTTTAGAGCAGATTTTATATGTATGCTTTGGGACTGCTTTTTCGTCATGATTTATTTAAAAATGTTTTAGTAATTGGTTATGTGTTTTGTAGGGTTTCCAGTTACAACATTTATAAAAAGGATTTGCAAATTGTGGACAGGTACTCACCATGGTCCCTCTCTTGATTTGGTGATTGAAGGTTGTCGTAATGACTGCCTCTGATGACACCTTAAAGATATCACCCCTTTTCCTATTAGACCCAATCCACTGCATTGACATTTGTTTACTTTCCGGGTCAAAATTGGATATCCACGTTTCGTCTACCGTGATAATTCGGTCCAAGAAGTTTTGATCAATGCGAAATCGGCGCAGAAACTTTTTTGATTCTTCGACTCTTCTGACTTTTTCAAAATCTTTTAAGAGTCTTGGTTCCCATCTTGCACACACCCGGGACATTTTCAAGTCGTTGTGTACAATGCTGTGTATGGATCCATAGGAGATAGAAAGATCTTCACTCAATTGTGTTAATGCAATCCGTCTATCCGAGTTTAAGATTTCCCTGACGCGATCAACGTTAATTTCAGCGGTAACAAGTTTCGGGCATCCGACTCGCAAATCGTCTTCACATGATTCTCTACCGTCTCGAAATCGTTTATGCCACTTCAAGACAAGTGATCTTGATACATTTTTACTTTCCCCTGCCTGATTAAAGATTTCCAAGGTCTCTGTTGGAGTTTTACCAAGTTGAAAGCAAAACTTTATAACATTCCGGGAAAAAACTTTCCCCTCCGGCGTCATTTTTCACTCGTACAATTTTGAACAAACTAATAAAAATGGCTAGAAAATTCCACACAATGCACTAAGAAGGATATGGAAATAACGAACAGTATTCAATTTCAACGTCCATTAAACAAATATACAAAATAAGAGCAGAGCAAACACGGACCTCCGAAACATCAGAGGTGGGATCAGGTGCCATGGAGGAGTGAGCATCCCCTGCCGACCGGTCACACCCGGTGCTCGTTGTCATAATCAGGAAATAACGGAAAAAATCCGTGGTCAATTCAGTGTATAAATAATGGACTAACAATTGGTATGAAAAACGTCAGTCAGCATTTCATTCAATGATAAATTGTATTTGCTGACAAGGTCATTGTATCGACCATAGAATTTACGAAATGATGACGTTAAACGAGACTGTTGATATTCTTGTTTCATCAACTTGCCTGTCAATAATTTACCTCGTTTTAGAAATTGTTCATACGTAGAGCATGCTCTTGCGTATCGAATCAACTGAGATATAAATACTCCGTATGCAGGTGATGAAGGTATATTGCTGCATAAGTAAGGGAAGTTGACGATAGAAAAGTTAAAGTCATCACGTAATCAATAATCAATAAAGTCATCACGTAAATGACGTAAAATTTTAAAATATTAAGGAACAGTTGTATGACGTCATATTGTAAAAATTACGGGAAAATGTGATAAGAAATAATCATTATTTTTCAATTTATATTTTACACTTGAAGATCAGAAATTGTCATATTTTGAGGTTGCGTCGCCTAGTCAAACTATCGCAAAGGTTATAGCATGTAATTTTTAAAAAAAATGATAATTGAAATATAAAATCTTCGTAGTATGAAGGAAAGATGTATATTTCGTTACACTCCAAATTTTAATGAAGTACCTTGAACGGTATTAATTTTATAGCGCTAGTCCACGAACTTTTTGATAACCACTCGTATATATTTAAAAAGCATTTCTCAAAAAAAAAATTAATTTAAAATCTTGATTCATTAAAAAGATATTAAAACTTTTAATTTTTTGGCGGGTTTGATTGACACATCCTTGCACTTTCACAAATGTTAACTTTATTCTTAATCCTTAGGAAAAGTGGCAAATTTGTTTTTATAAAAACATAAATCCAGAAAAAATTATTTTATTCAGAGTAGAAATGTTAGAAAGCAAAACTCTTTCACAAGTATTGTAATTCCGTTGTGTACCGAGTTAAGCAAATCGAGCACACTCTTGTTATGTACACAGTTTTTGTAAATATGGCACGAATTCTGTATTTGTTTAGAATTCACCGTGTGCGTTAAACGCCAAAGCCTGCTCATCACAACTACATGGACTGACAATTCATTGTGTGCTTGTTTTGCTCTGGAACATATCTGCTCTGAATTTTCTGGATTAAGTATTAATATTTTTTATTAATACACAACAAGATTGCCAAGGTTATAAGGCTACTGAGAAAAATGAAGGAGAAGCTTACAGAGTAAAGGGCTTTTTGCATAAAAAAAACGTCATTTTTCAACCCCAAATTTACCCTTGGGGCAAAATCGCTAAAAATTGGGCCATTTTTTACTCTACTGGTTAGTAGAACTCATGCGATAGTAATGCGTTTGGTGTCTGTCTGTCGATCTGTAAACAGTTTTTTCAAAATGCTACTCCTCCTACAGTTTGTTCCAATTTCAATATAACTTGGCACACATGTAGACTACACCAGGTTATCTAATTCTGTGTATCGTTTTTTGATTTCAATTAACGGTGTTGCCATGCACAGTAAATCATTCAAAATGCTACTCCTCCTACAGTTTAGGTTTGATTTCAATTAAGGAATCTTTTTAAGTTTTGCGTGTGTTACTGGTGTGTGAATCACACAGACTTGTCATGTAGGCATATTTCGTGAAGCGCGCTAGCAAGTCTGTGTGATTCTCACACCAATAATTCACATTTAACTTAAAAACATTCCTTATATTTACATGAAACATGCTTGGAAGCAACTTAAATAGACGTATTATTTGAATTTTTCGTCGCCCTATATCGTGTCATTTTTACTAACGTCGCTGCAGTCGCACGTTTCTCCGTGCATATTTCTACGCATGAGTATACACGAAAATGGTATTCAAATCAATTTCACTGTTTGCTTAGTAGAAAACCACAGCTAATAATTAATATAATTATAGAATAATTACCTCTTTAAAAGAGCCTTCTCTGAAAATTCAAGATAATGAATAATTTCTGCATTTCCAACATATTGTCCGGATATTCTCTTTTCAAAATCTGCTACAGACATTTCATCAACGTCAGAGATTCTCCTTTTATTAAAAATTGTGATTTGCACAATCAGCAATTGTGCTAATTGCACATATTGTTCATATGTTGGTTTCATGACTTTCATGTGTTTTTTATAGCTCACCTGAGCCAAAGGCTCAAGTGAGCTTTTCTGATCACAATTTGTCCGTTGTCTGATGTCGTCGTCGTAAATTTTTCACATTTTCATCTTCTTCTCAAGAACCACTGGGCCAATTTCAACCAAACTTGGCACAAAGTTTCCTTGGGTGAAGGGAATTCAAGTTTGAACAAATGAAGGGCCACGCCCTTTTCCAAGGGGAGATAATCATGAATTTGTTAAAAATTAATGGCATTTTAAAAAAAATCTTCTCCAGAACCGCTAGGCCAGGAAAGATGAAAATCATGTGGAATCATCCTCAGGTAGTGTAGATTCAAGTTTGTTCAAATCATGACCCCCAGGGCAAGGGTGGGGCCAAAATAGCCGACCCAAGTTTTACATAGGAATACATGTACATAGGAAAAATCTTTAAAAATCTTCTTCTCCAGAACCACTGGGCCAGGAAAGCTGAAATTTATGTAGAGTCATCCTCAGGTAGTGTAGATTCAAGTTTGTCCAAATCATGACCCTTGGGGCAAGGGTGGGGCCAAAATGGCCAACCTTAGTTTTACATAGGAATACATAGGAAAAAATCTTTAAAAATCTTCTTCTCAAGAACCACGAGGACTGAAAAGATGAAACTCATGTGGAATCATCCTCAGGTAGTGTAGATTCAAGTTTGTTCAAATCATGACCCCCGGGGTAAGGGTGGGGCCAAAATGGCCGACCCAATGTTTTCATAGGAATATATAGGAAAAATCTTTAAAATTCATCTTCTCCAGAACCACTGAGCCAGGAAAGATGAAACTCAATTGGAATCATCTTCAGGTAGTGTAGATTCAAGTTTGTTCAAATCATGACCCCCGGGGCAAGGGTGGGGCCAAAATGGCCGACCCAAGTTTTACATAGGAATATATAGGAAAAATCTTTAAAAATCTTCTTCTCCAGAACCACTTGGCCAGGAATAATGAAACTCATGTGGAATCATCCTCAGGTATTGTACATTCAAGTTTTTTAAATCATTACCCCCGGGCTTGGGGATAGGGTGGGGCCAAAATGGCCGACCCAAGTTTTACATAGGGATATATAGGGAAACCTTTTAAAATCGTCTTTTCAAGTACTTCAAAGCTATGATTAGTGATACCCGGGGTATTTATATGGAATTATCCTCAGGTAGTGTAGATTCTAGTTTGTTCAAATGATGAACGCCTGGAAGGGGGGAGTAAATTCAAGCCCGATGTGCTCAGGTGAGCGCTGTGGCCCCTGGGCCTCTTGTTTTATTTGTTGTTCTACATGATTCTTCAAGATGTTGAGATCTTTCTTTGATGGCATGTTGTCTGGTGAGTTGATACCACGAAGTCTTTGTGTTCTGTTTGCAACACATGCCACTCTTGAATTCCAGTGGGCTGAATACATATCGGCAAACTCGTTTGCCTCTTTGTTCTTTCTATCGTTTTCTTCCTTTAGTCCCATGCTAACTTTCAGTAAACATATTTGTTTTAAATAAAGTGATTCCCAATTGTGGAGAATCATTTTCCCGGTACAATTCCTTCACTGAAGAGACAACATGACCGAATTTGCGATGGTCTAATGTAATTTGTCAAATCAAAGGGAACCATTTTTTTTTCATTCAACTTGTTAGGTCACCTGAGTAACTCAGGTGACCTATTGCTATCCGTTTTCGTCCGTCATCGTATGTCGTGCGTCATGTGTTAACGATTGAACAATTTCAGCTTCTCCTCTGAAACCACTTAACCAATTTCAACCAAATTTGGTATACAGCATCTATGGGTGAAGGGGAACAAAAATTGAATTTCATGGTCCCTGCCCCCCCCCTGGGGCCTGGGGGGGGGGGGGGGGGAAACCACTAAAATTATTGCAATCTTTAAAAATATTCTTCTTTACTCCTGGACATCAAGCAGGTAAACTGTTGTTATGAATGTAATAAACATTGAGTCCTCTACTTAAATTGTGAAGTTCATGGCCCCAGGGTCAGGGGTTCTAGTGCTGGGTTGGGGCTACATATATTATATAGTGAAAATGCATGATTTCTGTGAAAATCTTCTTCTCTGCTCTTAGGTATTAAATAAACTAACAAACCACAAAGTTATGATGAGCAAGAGTGCCTCTTCGTAAATTGTGAATTTTATTTCCCTAGGGTCAGGGGTTCTGGTGTTAGGGCGGGGCTCTATTGGTTATATAGTGAAAATGCATTTATTCTTTGAAAATCTTCTTTTGTTCTGGGTATTCAATAAACTAACCAAGCACATAGTTATGATGAGCAAGAGTGCCTCTTTCAAAGTTTTGAATTTTTTTACCCCAGGGCAGGGGTTCTGGTGTTAGGGCGGGACTCTATGGGTTATATAGTGAAAATGCATTAATCTTTGAAAATCTTCTTCTCTACTTCTGGGTATTAAATAAACTAACTAAGTACTTAGTTATGATGAGCAGGAGTGCTTCTTTCAAAATTATGAATTTTTGTGGCCCCAAGGTGAGGGATTCTGGTGTTAGGGTGGGGCCCTATTGATTATATAGTGAAAATACATTTATTCTATGGAAATCTTCTCTACTCCTGGGTATCAAATAAACTAACCAAGCACATAGTTGTGATGAGCAAGAGTACCTCTTTCAATATTGTGAATTTTGTGACCCCAGGGTCTGGGGTTCTGGTGTTAGGGCGGGGCTCTATTGCTAAAGAAATGTTGGAAAAGAGTAGACAAGGGAACCTTGTTCAAACCATTGTAGAGAATGAAGGGCTCATGTGAAAAAGAAATATTTATACAGAAAACCTGAAAGTACGAATTCAATATCGCCACTAAAATAATATTTCACACACTTCTTTTAAACAATGCACTACAGATGGGAAGATAAGTGGATGGTATTGTACCTGTAAAGTAGGTGCCAAGGTAGTAGGCTGCTGTGCACACATTGCAAGCATTATCTGGTACCTAGGGTACAAGAAATTCCAACAGCATAACCCAGAATTGTTTGTTTGTTTATTCAGGAAATGGCACATGTCATATATATGTAGCATAAGATAGACATAGAAGAACAAAATTGGAACATGGAATCCAAAGAAATCATAACATTTTAAAAAAAATACAATTGTAATAAAACACTAGCATTTAGTATACCTGTAGTTTCTGTAATGTTGTTATAATACGAATATGTAAATGTACGAACTGAATGATGTACGAGTTACTCTTGTGTGTGTCGTTGAATAAACGTTTCCTGTTTTTGTACGCACGTGTTGTCAGTTCTGAATCCGCATATCCAGCCAGGGAACCCACATAATAAAACCAATACAAAACGATACATGGTGTCAGAAGTGGCGGATAGTTCCACCTTCACAAGTAAGACACGGCTATCATGGAATTATGCGGCATTCCCCCACCGACCATGTACTGGTCTAGTTCGAATTTGCCCTTTGTCCGAAGCCTGGAAAAGGTTTGAACAACATGTAAAGCTGATTTTCGCAGGCCCATTGAAAGAAAAGGATGAAGAGGAACAAGTCTCATACCTTCTTCTATTGTGGATTGGCGAGAAAGGTCGTGATATTTATAACACTTTTCCAGCATTTTCGAACGACGACATGAAGAAACTACAACCACACTATGATAGATTTCTCAGGTACGTTCAACCCAAGTTAAACCCAATCTTCGCCAAATACAAGTTTAACAATGAAGTACAGGGAACAAACACGTTTGATCAGTTTGTGACTAAACTAAAACTATTAGCAAGGGACTGCAACTTTAGTGACGCAGAGGAAATGATAAGAGATAGAATCGTGTTTGGGATACAATCAGAAAAAATTCGGGAAAAACTTATTAACGTTGGCGAGGTACTCACCCTAGATAAAGCTGTACAGATAGCTCAGGCATACGAGTACTCTCAGGAACACCTCAAACTCATGGGACATCAATCGGTACACGTACAAGCATTGTCCAAGTCTACACCCCATGCACACTCACCTGCAGAGAGGAGTGGTAGGAGACCACCCCACCAGACGAAGACACGATCCACTCCGCCAAAGTGACTCAGTTTTGGTCTGATTTCAATATAATTTGGCACACAAGTAGACTACATTAAGATACATAATTCTGTGTATCGGTTTTTGATTTCGATGAACGGTGTTGCCGTGGTTACTAAAAATAGAAATTTCTGTGAAATTCTTTCAAAATGCTACTCCTCCTACAGTTTTGGTCTGATTTCTGTATAACTTGGCACACAAGTAGACTACACTAAGATACATAATTCTGTGTATTGGTTTTTGATTTCGATGAACGGAGTTGCCGTGGTTACTAAAAATAGAAATTTCTGTGAAATTCTTTCAAAATGCTACTCCTCCTACAGTTTTGGTCTGATTTCAATATAACTTGGCACTCAAGTAGACTACACTAAGATACATTATTCTATGTATCGGTTTTTGATTTCGATGAACGGTGTTGCCGTGGTTACTAAAATAGAAATTTCTGTGAAATACTCTCAAAATGCTACTCCAACTTACAGTTTTAGTCTGATCATAATATAATATGAAATGCAAGTAGACTACACTAAGAACATAAAGAGACTTAATCAAGGATCATTACATGTATTCTATTTATTGCTGTTGAAAAGTTTCAATTTCTAACTGCTTAAGTACTTTTCTCTTCCTTTGCTATAAGTACAAACCAGTAGAGCTTCAGTCTCAACAGAGACTTCTGGTTTTTTTAAAGAATTATTTAAGCACGCATTTGAACGAAAAATAAATCAAGCGTTCATAACTTTCATTGTCAACACTGAATGCAATAGAAAAAGGGAGTTGTTAGAAAACATCAAATGCATTTGAATGCATATTAAACAGAAAATAAATCAGTTGATTCGTATTTAAAAAAAAAAAATTATCGTTGCAATAAATACGATGAGTAGTATTTAAAAGTGAAATTAATCACAGCCTCTGGGTCGCGTGTCCACTTGTTATGAACGCTAAACATGTAGCTAGAGAACTAATACTTTGTGTTCATGAGTGAAAAACGTGTCCTAGATTGAACTCATGTGTACACAAAGGCCAGTGACGTTGATCGCAAATATGTGCACACAACCATGTATTCAATGACGCTCAATAAATAACAGTGTCCAAAGCCGTCCCAGCATGTTATGAACGGAAGTTAAAGTGAGAATGTTCTTTTTATGGCGTTAAAGGGCATTTTTTGTTTGAAATCAGTAGAATTACATAGAGTTATTGAAGTATGAATATTTATTCATCAATATGAGGAAGCGATATGGGTGTTCGAGAAAATTAAAGCCAGAAATGCTCTTGAAACGAATCGACAAATGCCATGCAGCATGTGTCCTTTTTTATGAACAACAGTGTAATTTTAACTGTACGGAACATTATAACAGTTTTAGCATGCATAGACTAAAAAAACAATAGACGATATTTTTATCTGACACATAAACAAATGATGATCCCAGTGTAAGTCAGAACACAAGAATGGTTTTGGATTTTTAACTTTGTTCATAACAGAGACGACTCGAACGTGTTTTTGACATGTGTCTAACGTTATGCACGAATAAAAAAAAAATGTTTTCTGCTTTAATATTTGACCAGTGATACACACAGGAAATAAAACTTATTAAAATTTCTAAGACAATCAATATGAATGAATTTTGCTTTATTTAAGTATCACAAGGTGTGGAAGTTTTGAAAAAAGGTATTGCTCATAACTAGACACTGAAATGGATGCAGTTTCAAGAGTCCAAATTATGAACAGAAAACCATTTGAATAGTTTGATTCAGAATTATTATTCTGTTTATTTGCAATTTCATTTTTGAATAAACGATTAATATTATAAATAATAGAAATGCTCATGAGCAGTAAGAAGCATGAAATATGATGATTCAACAAAACCTGCATTTGTTCATCATATGGACACAAGTTGTATATATATTTTTGTAGTCTGTTGTTATGAACATTATTATAAGACTTTTTAAAAAAAGATTTTAAAGATCTATAACAACTAACTGAAGAATTTTACTTGGATGGAAGGTTTAAGTTAAAATGAGGTGTTAATAATATTGCAGCAACATTGAGTGAAAAAATATTTCAGGAACTAGGTTTGTTCATTACATGGACATTTTAAAAAGAACAGTTGTTATGAACAATAATATTTATAGAATTATTCATTTGAATTATAAGTAAATCCAAAGATCTAATTATTTGAAAATCTTTTAAGAACTAAGGATACCAAAATAGAGAATAATTGTTTTGAAACTTACTGAATAATATGCTGCTAACTGTTCGTAGCATGGACACCCTCACACACAAAAAGATTTTATTCTCCATTATCACAAGGGTTAATTATATATCTTTGTCTTATTAGGGCCCCGCAAGGATTTGCGGGTGCCCTATAGTAATAACTCTGTCTGTCTGTCCGTCTGTCATTCTTCTGTCCACATATTTTCTGTTTTTTCCTAATAACTTTTTTAGTAGTAGCCCAATGAAGTTCAAATTTGGTACGGTAGTTCATTAGGCAAAATGACATATTTTGATGCTAAGTTTGTTTCTATATGTTCTCTGGTTTGGATCTGGGATGGTGGGGTAGATTCCTTACTTTTATATAAGAATGAATTGGCAAAGAGAGATAACTTCTGAAAATGTTCCCATTGTAAACTGAATACTGCGATGAATGAGTCCTTTTGGATTAATTAGCTTTCCTCCTGAAGAAAATCCAAAGCATTATCTTTATCTGTCACATTGATATTTATTACCACCTCTGTCTGCAAATGAAGTTTGTTTTGAAGTTAAGTCCATTTGCAATGCTACGAACACTCTGAAATGTAGATTGAAGTATATATGTTTTTACTTTATTTTTGTTGACAATGAGTTCTGATTTCATTGAATTCTTAAAACAAGAAATATATTAAAGAAGATGTATTTTTTTTATTTTTATTAATTTATTTTTTTCTTGCTTCATGTAAATTCAAAAATAATATTAATTTTTAAGGTATTAGGATGAAAACCTCTATCTTTACTGAAAAAGTTTTTATTATAAATTCAGAAGAAAATGATGAGTGAGAAGTACAATTAATACCTTGGGATTAATTATCTAGTCTGCTGAAGAAAATTTAGAAGGCTAATCTCTATCTGTCACTTTAAGATTTATGAAAACCTTTGTCCGCAACTGCTGTTTGTTTTGAAGTTAAGGTCAAGCCTTCATGATATGTATTTGCATTCATTGAAGGCTGGCATTTCATATAACACAAGCTTCATTATTGTTAAGATATACATTCAGTGTTGAGTTGTTCTTTACTGCCTTATGTAAAAACAAGGATATTATTTACAGGTTTTTGGATATTCAGGAATTATCTTGAAATTTTAAGAATACAGTTGCTGTTTCTTATTTGTCATATATTTTTGAATCATTTCATAAGCTGCACCCTTATAATTCTACCCCATGGCGGGGCCCTTGCTGACTGGTCAGTTTTCTAGTTACGTCATGTGTTTTTTTCCAGATGATGGAGTCTGTGGGGAAAAGGAACTGCCTAAGTCAAAAAATGACAATAAAGTTTGTGGAGAAATCAAGATCTACAATGAAAAAGGGAAAGTAAATACTCGAAGGAATATAGAGAAGGGATTAAATCTAACGCTGAGCTCTACAAACTGCACAGAGCTGCGGAAACATTACGAAATAAAACATACCGTGTAAATCATCACAAAAAGTAGCAAAACAAAGAAACAGAGAACTTCAAAATGTCCGACAAAAAAACGTCAGAGAAATAGTTTACAAATGAAATAGTGACTTTAGACGATGATCGTACCGATAATGTCATCGTGATTTCTAAGTGAGTTTACCTGAATCAGAATAATTTAATTAATGATTTTATCACATCTTATTTAATAGTGCACAAACCTTATAGACGTCTGCATATGAGTAAAAAATTCTCGAGAGGGACGTTAAACAATATACAGTCAATCAACTTTGTTTTAATTTATGTACAGTGATAGAGAGAGTGAAGAGGACGAATGGATGGACTTCGAAGAAAAAGAAAACAATGAAGTCAAAGAAAAAGTCGTGCCAACAAACCAAAGGTACAATATTTTAAATGGGAAATAAATTTTTGATCATTTTTTTTAATTATTGCGAACAAGATTTTTTATTATTATTATAAAAAACGGAAATACTTAAAGCACATGAAGAAGAACTTCAAAACCAAAAAAGAATCCTACAAAAACAAATTGACAGACTTCAACATCAGATGAATCAAGTAGATGACGAACTTTAGGGTGTGCATTTAACCCTTAACCAGCTGTTTGAAGAAAGTGATTAGATTATAGATTGGATATGGAACTCGTTTAGTGCTTAAAGATTAAAGTGTGCTTATCTGTGTCAGATGTTTACTTTAAGTGGATTTTCCCTCAATATGATCAGTTTGGATTTTATTGAAGAATATGTATTTCTGAAACGGTCTATTATATCTCTTACTTCTGAAATATCGGACAAAAAAAAGAACACAGTTAAATGGTATTTTTAAAGAGTAAATAAAACAAATTTTAATGTCAAACGCACCGACTACACTGTTATTTTTGTTGTTAATAACTTATCTTGATTGATTCATTGTGTTGTTTAACGTCCCTCTCCAGAATATTTCACTGATATGGAGACGTCACCATTGCCGGTGAAGGTCTGCAAATTTAGGCCTATGCGCGGCACTCAGGGTCTTTGAGCAGGGTAGGATCATTATCGTGTCACGCATGCTGTGACACGGGGCCTCGTTTTATATGGTCTCATCCGAAGGTCCGCCCCATTTAGTAGCCTTTTAGGGCAAGAAAGTGGGTACTGAGGACCTATTCTAACCCGGATCCACACGGGAATCTTGAAATGGATACAGTAATATTCTCTTAATGCACACCACGCCCGAAATGATTTTTTCAATCGTATAATGACAAAATAAGTCATTTTGGTTTATTTCTCGCTACGGCGCCTGTAAAAGGAGGACGGATGTTGTGTGTGCCTGTTCGAAACACCATAATCAACGATCATGCGTCTGATTCTACAACTGTAAAAATAAAGAAACTACATGAAGCAAACTTCAACTGCAGAACAACTAGACAGAGTGTGAGAAGATTCATTATTTGCTATAAATTAAATCAACTGGTTGTGTTTGTTGTCAAAGGTTCAGTACAGGTCACGTGTTTTTCTCGCAAAGCACGTAAGGGGCACAGTGGACCTCGAACAATGTCAGCGTCTTTGAAGTCTTTCATTTTCATACTTACAGTTTTAGCAAATTAAATCAATTTCCTTTTAAAATATTAGCTGTATTTAAATATTCGTAATTTAACAATTCAGATATTTAAAGTAATAGTATAAGATGCCTCAAAATTCAATATAATTGTGCTCGTGTCAGGGGTAAAAAAACCCGCCTTTAATGTGCACATGTACATTAATTCATGTTTCATAATCCTATAATTGTATTTGACAAAAAAGTTCATTAGATTATATTACCAGTAAGATGGAACACGCAATCTTGAATTAATTCCCTGGTTGTCTCTACTTTTGAATTTAATTCTGCTCATTAAAATTATTAATTTAAATCTCGTCGAATACAAGATCGTTTTTGTCGTAAGTATGCATTCATATGTAGCACATATCCGATGCGTGATTTTACTAATGAATTATTTTGTAAGAATTTTAAAACATATATAAACTGTCAAATTTAAAAAAAAAGATCTGTATTAGACTCTCACATTATTCTGTTAAGATTCTTACTATAGGCGAATCATTGGTGCAATTATACTTGCACTGAAAATATGTAATCATGTAAAATATGGATTTAAATTTTACATGCGGTAAACATGAATATTTCTACTGAACAGACAATGATAATATTCTTACTAATAAAACTGTGATCAACTTTCACGCTACATACAAAAATCGCCAGCCAATTTCTTGCAAATAAAATGTGCAAACTGCAGTATAATTATTACTTCATTCTAAAATACATCTTATGAAAAATGAAAAAAAAACAGTTTGCTGTTTGTTACCCCCACCCCCCTTAGAAGGCTGTGTGTAACATTTCATGTGTGAGCATCATTTATTAATTATGAGAATATTTTTGGGAAATAGACATTAAAAGCTCAGGTTCATATTTTGTAATACATTTGTTCCTTCGTGTACATTGTATCTTTTTTAAAACATTTTTTTTTTTTTTGGTATCATTGGAATTTTGATAGCGATTTGTAGGGGTTGTTGACTTTTTATTTACTTCTTAATTTTACCTAGGGGTGTAGGTAACTAAATTTTATTGATAATTTTTTTCTGGTAGATGGGTAACGAAAGAGTAAAGGAAAAAAACTTTTTTACACTTTGATAATCTAATGTCAAGAAAAGTTGATTTTAAAGTGTGGTGCAGCATATTTGATTTATATTTTTTGGGGGGTAGCTTTAGTGCAATCATTTGTTGAGAAAAATCCAACTTTGAAGTGGATATGAAAGTAAATATCCATGTTATGCCATAGTTTTGTTTATAGTTTTGCAACAGATACAGCTTTGAATATACATGTAGTTTTGTGATGCATGATTTTTTACACTTTTATACCTATATGCAATCATTTGTTGAGAAAAATCCAACTTTGAAGTGGATATGAAAGTAAATATCCATGTGATGCAACAGTTTTGATATGTTGTATGATTTTTTATTGGGATGATTGTGTTCAAAGGGGAATAACTCCCAATATTTTTTTTTATGTAACAGGAAGGACTGTCTGTAAATATTTGGATATTTTTATAAAAGTTTTTAATGAAAAAAAGCGACTTCATATTATGATTTGAATGGACAAGTTGTGTGTAAGAAAGGGGTGTGTGTACAAGTTAGCTACTAAATATTTTTTTTAAAAGAAAAATTCCAAACTAAAAAAAAAAGATCAATAAATTGCTAAATACTTTGATATCTTGAAGATATGGACAACGGCAGCCTTCTGAAGGAAATTCTTGACTCTTTGAATGACAAGGACACTATACAACTCTTTGCAGCAGCCAACGGTCTGGTAGGTGATGTCGAGGTTGAGAACAGATTGCAAGAGCTTGAATGGGAGAGATATATAGATGACTTGTGGCAAGAGGTGGTACAAGAATTGGATTAAGTAAACATTATTAATAACACGGTAAATAAATATCAGCGGTGTGTAAAAGATTTACATTAAGTCAAGTTAACAGTGAATAACAGAATTACCTGGTTTAAGAGACTAATTCTTGAATAATTCTTGAATAATCTGCAACTTTAGCGTGTTAGATTTTTAACTTGAATTTCCTCGGTAATTCTTACATCGATGTCACATTGCTGGTGCTTGCAGTAAAATAAGAATACTGCTCCACATTTTTATAATGATGCAGTATTATTATTCCCTGATTGTTGCCACTCCGTTTTAATCAAAATATACATGAAAAAGAATTAAATAGGCTTATTTTATTACAGACTTGAAGCCTACAGAAGAAATGCACATTGTGCTAAGACCGATGTTTATGGACCTGAATTTATGATGATGACGCCACAACTCTACAAAGACCTTCATGGCGACAATACCTTTCAAGGATGCACCGAGGCAGAAATTTCTACTTTCTTGTCCAAGTTTAATAAGACAACTGATATGAAAGGAAGGGATATGTACAACGATGGGTTTATCAAGTATGTGAGGGTGACATTTCATGATTCAAATTGGTTCGTTAGAAGCAGTGTAAAAGCTTCAATGATGAAGTCTGTGAAATATGTTGTTGACATTATGATAGAAAAAGACAGAAGTGAATGTGCGGCAGGTATGGGACCCGATGCACACTGCAAGCATGTCTGTGCTGTACTTTTTTCATGTGCAGATTTTGTTAAGCACGGGACTTACAAAACGGAACTCACCTGCACACAGAGGTTACAAACTTTTCATCGTGCTAAGCCCCATAAAGGAAGCCCTATGAAAGCAAGACAGTTGGACATGCCAGGCTGTGACGAAGTATGCAATAATGACTATGACCCTCGTCCAGTTGAATTTAGAGGCAATCCGGGATACCAGTCTTACTTTAGAAATGTGTGCCTGAATTACCCAGGTATTAGTAAGACCCCAATTTTTCAGCTGTATGAGCCTGTGAACATGAAAGCTTACAATCTGAACCATGACTATCTAAAAGATATGTTTAGTGAAACCCATTTGAAACTTTTAAATGTATCAGAAATTTCAGAGGAGAATGCACGTCAAGTTATGATGAAAACAGCTACACAAGCGGCCAACGACCTTTGGTTTGAGGAACGTTGCAAACGTCTTCATTCTTCCGTATTCGGGAGAATATGTAAAGCAACTGATCGAACTGATAAGGTGAAACTTGCTGACTTCTTAACAACAAAGGCACAAAAAATTAATGCCAAACCTATTCTTCATGGAAGAAAATACGAAAAAGAAGCTGTTAAGAAGTACCAGGAAACTTCAGGACGCACAGTTTACAATAGTGGAATTTGTGTCAGTCTGGACTTCCCTCATTTAGCAGCAACCCCAGATGGTATTATTGATGATGAAACCTTGATTGAAGTAAAGTGTCCATATGTGGCTAGAAACAGTTTTATTTCCACAAAAACAGTTCCTTATATTAAGCTGTCTGGAAGTAAATTTTCTTTGAATAAATCCCATGACTATTATTATCAGGTCCAAGGACAACTTTACTGTGCAGAGAAATGTTTTTTTATTTCACAAAAAAACCGCGGCCATTTTGAATCCAAAGCGAGGCTAGGAACGCAAACATGGCACAAGACATTCTGTTTTTCTTTTTGAAAAATGTTGGTGTATTTATTTGAATGTTCCTGTGTACAAACATATCCTGTACATTAAAACCTTTGTCCGCCGTTATTGAATCTCCAGAATTGCACATTTCCAACAGCCTCTTCTTTCAACTATTTGGCGCTTGGAGTAAAAACCTCCACAAGAACCTTTACGGTGTTACGGTTTTTATAGGTAGAATACCTTGTTGTGGCTTTGGTAACTTTGGTCTTTTAATAGTACTCACCCAGGACAAGGTTTTGGAGAAGTGGGCCAACGACACCTCCAGGCTAAAATCCCCAGGTCAAAACAGCAGAAGGGGTACGGGAACTTCTTAGAAGGATATATACATGAGGTCGAAAGTAAGTGCTTGCTCGAGATTGAATGTGTTTACAAGCACGATGATATAACAAATATTGGTTGGGTGATATTTATTTAAATGCATAATTCAACTAAGGTGATAAATTTAAACCTGTACTGTTATTTATCGGTAATGTTTAAAGAATAATATGAAGTAAAAGTGACGTACATTTAATCAACTGGGTATATACTGACATTGCCCGAATTTTCTCGAGAATCCTTCAAGCTGGTTTACCGCTGAAATGCTTATGGTGTAAACATGAAATGCATTATATTTATTTTGGTTGAACATTAATCTTGACTTCAGTTTTTATAATACTGTTGTCTCTTGTCTGTAGTACAAACATGCAAGGATGCTGTTCGTGTCAGGGCCAAGGCCTTCCCTTCCATGAAAAAAAATAACCCACCATATAAACTGATGGTTGGCTAGTTCAGAAGTTTAAATGTTATTTATTGTTAGTTTGTTGGTTGGTTCTTTTATTTTTGAATTGCTTTATTATTATTTTTTCTTTTGCATATATATTATCTTCTTTTTATGAATAATTTAAATTTGAGAGAGTTATGTTAATATTTTGAAAAATAATCACCAGAACTAGGGGGGATCCAATTAATTAATTAAGAACATAGAGTGGTCTATTCAGACTAAGAATCATTGCATTTGCATAATTTTTACATGGCACCAGTTTCAATGCCAGTTCTCATTTAAATTGTGATTTTTGTTTGTATTTAAGTTTTTTAAAATTTTGTACATCAGTTCTTTTATTTTAATTTAATGAAAACAATTGCATGTATTATTAAATAATTGTGTTGCGTTTTGCGTGCACTATGCCTAAATAGGGTTTGACACATGTTGCATGAGCCGGAGGCGAAATGGAAGCTGGCACTATTTTGGCATAGTCTGTATACGCTATTTAAATCCTCAGAACACTATTTGATAATGGTTGGGTATGTGTTACAGAGTCAAACTGACAGGATTGAGGAAGCATAATAATGTATGATATTTGAGTTTTCTTGAATGTCAGATGGGAGATTGAATAATATGAATATCGGTATATGATTTGTTGTAACTTGTGTATAATTTTATTTAAGGAACATGAACTGAACTTTGTACTTATTAATAAATAATTATGTAATAATCAATGTTTACACAGCAAGGTTTAATTGATATATTCTACTGTATTAGTGTATAATTTATATCTGTGTTTTATAAATTTTGTTGTTTTTAGTAGACTTTTTCTTTCAAATCAGTTGAAAAAATCTTTTCTTTTATAGGTAGAGTTGTGTAAAACATCCTCAGACATTTTGCTGTCACAGTGTGAGTGTAAAGCTGGAAATGGGCACTGCAGTCATAGCATAGGATTATTATACCTTTTATGTCACTACCAAAGGTATCAAATATGCAAATTTCGCACATGTTGAAATAGGTTTCATAATGTAACAGTTATAATGACAACTATCATTTCTTATTTTATTTTGAAATCAAAATACAAATAACAAAATAAAGATCTTAAAGATAATCCTAATAGTTAATCTGTAATTGCATCTATAACCAATGAAAATAAATTTTGAAAAACTACATTGCTGAGGGAAAATATTATGTAGTTATTTTTATGCTTTAAGACTCGGATTGAAGGCTGTACCCCCAATACAGAGTAAAACATCTTTACCACAGACCTGGCATATTCCCCAGAGAATAGAGGGTTTGGAACCAAAGCCTGTACATAGTTTGGAAATTTGCAAGGTATTTTTGAATAAAGAAAAAATATATTTTTTTTAATTTTAGATTCTAAAAATATTTCATGTAGTTAAGATAACATTCAATTAATATTCACCAAAGAAATCTCTTGGCAAACAAGGCAGTGCCTGGCTTTGCTATAAATTGAATGGTTATCATGGGGGTAAAACATATAGCAGTATAAAGCTATACAGACATAAATTCTGCAGTAGACATATTTTCTTGTATCACCTTTGCCAAGCAATGTTAATTGTGACATTTATTCATGCTAAAGAACATGGTTTCATCGTTGAGAGGGTAACAGTGTTCTTTAACAAATGTTTAAATATTACACGTTGTATATTGGTAAATGTGAAATTTTTCTTTAATAATTTAACAGGTGAACCCTAAAAAGGAACCACCAAAGAAAAAAAGGCGAGTAACTGAGGGAGTGTTACCAAACCTGTACTGTCCAGTTCAGACAGTTCCAAGTGAACAGTTCAGAAGCACATTGCTCGAGAATCTAACAACACTGAAAAGTGATGCTCAGATTGTACGCTTATTATCACCTTCAGATGTCATTGAATCTTCATCCAAGTTTGGACCAGTACCAAAAGGTTCAATACTTTCTTACCAACAGAAACAGCTGACTGATATTGGTGACATTATAAATAACAATGAACAGCCAAGTTTTCCAGAATTTTCACTACCAGAACAACCCAAACACTATAATCGAGTGTTGAACCGTGCTGAGTATGACATTTTTATAGGCATGGACACTAATCTCACACATGCGCTAGAATTAGAGGAGCAGACTCGCGCACAGAGTGCTACTAAATTATGGCATGAAATTCGCCGCCACAGGATTACCTCTACCATGTTTAAAGACATATGCGTCAGGAGAGCAAATCATGAAAAACTGGCAGTGCGTCTTCTGAAAACCAAAAACATTCAAACTTCAGCGATGAAATTTGGCTTAGAAAATGAACCTGCTGCAGCTAAATTGTATTCCGATATTACTGGAAATAATGTCTACTTGTGTGGTTTTGTAATTAATCCAAGTTCTCCTTACCTTGGAGCATCTCCTGACAGAAAGATTTTTGATCCAAATTCTACACCACAATATGGGCTCCTGGAGATCAAATGTCCTGACAAAGATTCTTTCCAGGAATGTGTATACCTTAAAGTTACCAATGATGGGACTTACAAACTGAAGCAATCTCACCAGTACTACTACCAAGTGATGGGGCAGATGGGTCTTACTGGACTCCAGTGGTGTGACTTTTTTGTGAAATGTAGACTCGATTATCATAAGGAGAGGATTAACTTTAATGCAGACAAGTGGGAAGAAATCAAGTTGTCTCTGGACAAATTTTATTTTGATTATTTCTTGTCTGAAATTCTTAAAATGAAGTAATATGTGTTTACTTGACATTACTGATACTGAATATTATTCAGAATTTATTGAACATAACAATAAGAAATTAACAATGCTTTTGTGTGTAACACATACAATGTAAATGCATACATGTACATGTACCACAGTTTTGTTTGGCAATGCCATAGAAACTGCCATGTATTGTTTTTATAATAATTCAACTTTTTCTTCTAAGACTACATTTATATATATGTTTCAATACCGCTTTGATCTTTTTGTAGAATTGTTACAAATATTATTCCATTCATATTAAACTAATATCATTTCAATTTAACATACATGTCTACTCCTGGTTGAATAAAAAACATGCATAATAATATTTAAATTTATCATTTATTTCATTTGAATTCATCATGTTCATAGGAAATGGTTTTATACAAAGTGATGTACTTGTACATAATTTGCACTGAAAAGCTGTAATGTTTAATATACAATCAATAGTTACATTGGGTACAATACTTGATGATGACCACTATCTCCATTCTAATACAGTAATGCTGAATGTGAAAGTATCAAATGCAGAGTTGTATTCACATTTCAAAATAATCAAACAAATTGAATATAAGATAATGGTGTAACTACTATACTAGAATAAAGGTCCCCTGAAATTTGTCAGTATTGCACAAACTGTCCATATCTGATTAATTGATGCAGCTAAATTAAGAGGTATGACCCCATCAAATATATGATACTCTTTTATCCTCCTTATAGCTCGCTCTACATGAATACGGAGCCGTGCTATCTCATGTGTTTGTGCTACCTCACTAGCAGAAAATTTTCCCTTTTCACCAAGAAAAGGGGGTATTATCAAAGACGCATGATGTTTGTCTAATAGGTCAGCTATCAAAAATCCTTTGTCAGCCATTACTTGATCGTTAGGTTCTAACAGGTCCAAAATTCCTGATAATGCAGTTATAGCTTTATCACTGATGCTTCCTGTATACAATGAGCTAATGAACGACACAGCACCACATGGAGTTATCCCAATCAAGCTCTTAAATGTTGTGTGACTCTTGTAATTGGAGTAAGTTTCAGAATTTAACACTTTTGAGCTAGGGGTTTGAACTTTAATTTCTGTACAATCCAAGATGACTCTGACTTGGGGATATGACTCTTTAAAACAAGTAGGCATGTTACTGTCAATCACACAACGAGGTGGCCAAATAGGTAAACAACCCAGCATAGTATATAAATAATTAGACCAAGTTATTAAAATTCTACTAACTGAAGACTGAGATATGTTAAATCTAACAGCCAAATCCTGTTCTGGAAATCCCTGACGCACTCTACAAAGGAACATAAAGAACTGATCTATGAGTGGCAATGCTTCATTACGAATAGCATTCAACTTCATTTTCTCTGTATTTGAAGAGTGTCTTTGCATTTGTGTCCATCTAATCATCGTTGCTGCAGATGGCTGAAGAGCATTATATAAACATTTTAAGGTTTCATAATCTTTAAAACCAGTATAAAAGTTTATCATCTGGGGATCTGTAGTGAATCGCTCCAAAGAAAAAAGTCTCTTTTCCACTGCCACAAGTTTTCCTTGTAAGTTCACAATTTCTTCTTGGGCTGCCTCCAATTGGTCGTGAACTGCAGTATGGACTATGTAGTCATGGTCACTTGACACAGGTGGAGTCTGGTCCTCGGAAATGGTCGATACTTCAGGTGCTTCCTCAATGCTGACCTCTGCAGACTTTGCTGGTGACCTAATTTAGTAAATGAAAACAATATCAGTGATGTACATGTAGTTACAAACCTAAGGTAGCGGTAGCAACACAAACAAATTAGCAGGGAGGGGTAAAAACCTTGAAATTATGTTTTTAAAAAAATTCAGGGAATGAGGTACTAACTTCTATTCAATCATCCTCTGCCTGCTCTTTCTATTTACCACCAATGCACGAGCCACAAATCAATTTACAAAGACCGAGATGAAAGGTCTAATTTTACTTAGTTTGAAAATTACAATACATGTCAACAAATTTTACCGTAATCAATGTTTCAATTTAAGTTTCTAAAATACATTTTCACTCTGTGCCATCAGCTTGTGCATTCACCTCTCTCGGGCCGTGTTTATGACAATGATAAAAACAAAATTTATATAATAATAGTGTATTTATTTTAATTTATTATGATTATACATTTGCACTTATGTTTGTCCTTTATAGTTGGTTGATATATACTAAATACATTTAAAACTAGGCACTAATTTGGAAATTATCCTTGAAATACCATGTTTTTGTACATTACGCCTTTACAGAGGTGTCTGCGAGACCATCATATGAATATATTCGGCACTAGAAATTTTAACAGTTTTACAACACCTTCTTGCAATATTATTACAATCAGTCGGAGTCCATCTGTACACTTTTACAAATGTTGACTCATTCTCTAGAATTAAGAACCATGTCAACTTACATGACTTTCAGTGATCTCCTAAGTGGCCTGATTCTCTTGACCGGGGAATTCCAGGCGAATATACTTGGTACACTTCCTGGCTTTAGCAGTCGTTTACCATTCAATGACCGACGTACTTCAGTTTGTAAAAAATGGGCTGAACACACCCTGGTAGCATCCGATATCTACGAAAAAATCATAACAATAATTTCTTATGTGTTCCAAGTTTGTTCATTATCAGGTCTGGTACAATCACTAGATTTAGCTATGTAGCTTTATTTACCTACTTATCTTTATTTACCTAACTGAGGTAGCTTTATTTAGCTACCAGATCAATTTATACATATAAAAAAAAAATTCTCAGGATGTGCAAAAAATCAGAATTTGATGCAGTGATCATTTTCAACTTTCAACTTATCTGAAAACAAATTCATGAAAAAATGTTTTTAAAACCCGCCCTAGTATATGAATATTAATATTCATTGAATTGCGACTTTTTGTCTCTTTTTAATAAAAAGAAAAACTTTGAAAAGTTGCATTGAAATAGCTAAATAAAGCTACCCGAGGTAGGTAAATAAAGTTAACACTTGTCAACGTCGTGTCATACAGTATGTATGTACTTACTCTGAAGTGTGGCCCTATATCCCTGCGGATTTTAATAATCCATTCTTTCCTTTTGATTTTTTCTGTAGGGAATTTGTGAAAAGATATTTCCCTATTGTTGTCATACCGGGAATCATTGTTGCACAATGGGACACAACAATGATATGCTGTACCCGTACTTGTACTGGAACTCGCCATCTTGTTTGCGTTCCGAGCCTCGTTTTGAAATTTGATGACGCAATCCGTGAATATACATCAAGCATAGATGTCTTTTAAAATCATTATCTTAAGTTTCCAAAGCGGATGTCTTTAAGGGCAATTTATATATTAATGGCACGATGTTTCGACTATGCGATTCTACCATAGGTTTTAAACAATTGTATAAAACGAGCTTTCCTAGATACCGTGTAGTTGAAATTTTTAAATTTTCTTCCTAAAGGTGAGTAGTTTTTTGAAAATTCTTTGTTCATTTACCATATTCCTCTTGGTTTTGTCGAAATAAAGCACCGAAAAGGGATAAAATTGCAAAGGGAAATCACACTAAAGGGTAGAAGAATGAAGTATTGTTTATTTTTTTTAATAGTAAATTCCTTCTATGAAAAGGAAAATTCCTTTGCATTTACGGTTTGAAAGGTTAGAATTTTGCAGTGTGATGAATCTCTCTTGAGTCCAGATTTTAGAAGTTGACTCTGAAAAATCCCACCTTATTAACATACAAAGCAGTCAAACAGATGATAAATACTATTATCACCCCGAGCTAAAGAGTCAAAATGTACAGAAAATACAAGTTACAGTGGCTAAACTGTACCCATGTCTACGTTTCTGCAAAGAGCTATT